GCTCCTGACAAATTGAGCTCCTTGGTGCGCAGGTGGGCACGCCCCCCACGGGCTGGGCTTCGCAACACATCTACTGGTTGACCCTCAAATAGATAGAAGTTCGTAGATCCCCACGCAGAAAATGTATTGGACACCGTGCCACTATCTATTTGGGGACCACAAGACCATACTTACTTTCTTTGCGTGCTTTCTAACAATTTGGCATACAGGGAATTACAGCCAGGAAGACTTGCATATCTCCGCATGAATATCCTACATGTCCAGTTTAAAGGACTTCGATTTCCCTGACCGCCCCTGGGACTCCAAGCAGAAACACCAAAAAAGCCCTGCCCGCACGTGGCTCGGCTCGGCGGTTTCTGTTCAGCCGCGACTCTGTGGCATTGGGGAAGAAGGGCAGCAGCTCAATGAGGCCGGGCCAGGCAGTGCGACAGTTTGCGGAGCGGAAGTTCAACCTGCCGTAGCTGGGAACGCGGAAGTTCGATGTTCCTTTTGGGATGTTGTTGTTGTTTTTTGATTTTTGTTGTATCCCAAACACTCAGGGCCCAGACTGGTCCAGTGGGCGATGATGGCTCGGTTGCAGGCCTGCCGACATCTCTAAAATCGTGATGTTTTTGTTGACCAACGGCTCTACAGGTTGAGCCTGGGACACCCACATTGAGCCTGTTCCTTTTGGAGCCACTCAGGATGTGAGCCGAGACCGGTGAAACAAACGCCTTCACGACAAGAGAAAGCACAAACGGCGATCAAAAAGACACCCCGAAGGGTGTGGCGCGACGGCGCGACCGGATGTGCGAAGTACATGTCTCACGACTTGAAGGGAGTGAATTGCTATTGGAGAGAAAAAGAGCTTGGTCCCATGTCGTGAATGGAGAGCCCATTTTCCCTGGGTCTCACCAAAGCATTTGTTTTGGAACACCCACTCTCAAATAGTACCTACCGAATGCATGTCAAGTGTGGAATGGGTGAAAACTCAAAGGTCCAACGATGGAAGGGCAAATTTTGATCTCTCCTTTCCTCGTGAAACCGAGGACACCCGAGGACACCTGAGAAGCCTCTCCCTCGGTGGCCTAGTCACTCCTGGAAGCGGCCCGCTACTTCGAAGCTCCGCTGCCAGCCTAAGAGCCAGTTTTCACAATGTTCTGCTGTTGGATTCCAGGTCCATTGAAGAGGTTGAGATCACAAGCGTCTGTTCTCCGCACCTGTTCTTGAGCATGCAAAAAATGGCCTCATGTGTGTACCTTCGGTTGTGAGTCAGGCCTTCTTTCCCTAAGGCACCGCAACAAGTGGTGATAGAACAATGCAACCTGACTATCCACACAACAGCTTGACTCTAAACCAACACTATATAGATGCGGATAATGAAACAAACAAACAGGAATTGATCTGCAAACGAAACATCTCTACTCAGAAGGAGGTTGCAAGGAGATGAGGTTATACCATATCAGAAGGTTGAGTACGCATTGGGGTTTTAGGATCAATCCCGGTGGAGCATCTTGCATTCATCCGTCCTGAAGGAAGCCTCATCAGTTCACCAAGGCAAATGTTTTAAGAATAAAGACGACCTTGACTAAACACCTCAGACCTTGAATCTGTACGTGCAAAAACGTATTTATATGTATTTATATATATTATAAAACAACATAAGTATATCTATATAGAACTGGACACATCGGATTTGCCAAATAGTCTTGAAGAGAGCAGCTGTTGAAAGTCGGTTCGGTTCACCCGAGACCAACTCTTGGAGACTACTTGCGTTTCCTCAAATCGTTGATGGGGAGGAGCACGTTCCCCAACATGGACCAACTCGTCATGTCATGCAGTGGTACCACATGCATTACACAAACATATGTCAAACATAATGAATGGACTCCATGACATGCAACAACTGCATCCCGCATGTATTGTCGTCAGAGCTATCTACGTAGGTGAAAACATGCGAAAACTCTTATTACAACTACTCTCATGCCTGCCACAAACTCCAGATCGACTCCACTTTCGCCAGAAGACTTGTAGAAAAAGGCTGGCAAAACCACCGGTGCCCGCAACGCGTCCCGCACATCGAACAAGGGCGGCCGGAAAATGCCGCCGCCCGTGGGCGTGGAAGCACAGTGGGCAGCTTCGAACGCTTCAGCGACGAAAGACTTCAGACCTTGGATCTGTTCACCCAGCATGGCCAGGAAAAGTACGATCTAGAAAACAAACACGATTCTACGTCAGGAAAATGCATCAAGTCGGTGAGACTCCAAATGCAAAGGGTTATTGACTCATTGACGGATGTATATGATCGCGGATTCTTGTTGGACATCCGATGAACTCCCATGAGATCCCATGAGAAGTTGATTCCCTGGCCGATGTTTCGTCTGGAGTTTCCTTGACATGTCTACTGAGGAAATCTACATTGAAAAACTTATGGATTTTGGAAGATTTTGTTTGCTTTGACCCATCTCAAATTGATAATTGGATGTGGAATGAGGTGGATTGGAACTTGAGGAGGGAATCATCAAAAAGTCTTTGGTCGATTCTCGCCATACAAATGGGCCTCTCGGAGTTGGACCCACAACATACAACAAACTCGGAGTCTACGGTTCCTCGGTTTCTCCGTTGGTTGAAATATAGGAACCCGTTTGGCAAAACGCTGGCCGACGTGAACAAAAAGATGGTTGAACAGGATCTTCTCACTTGGTGATCGGTGGTAACTTGGGTATATTTACACGTTGGGCCAAAGGATGTGAACAGGTACTCCTTCTCTCTTTCTCTCTCACCCAACTACATTGATATCAAATCCCGTTCTCTCGTGTGAATTTACTGTACACACTCCGTCGGCTTCACACAGGGTCCAATGTGCCATAGTCCACCTCTTTGTCCAACTTCCACACCAAGGAGCCATAGTCCACCTCCACGCCTTCAGGACGTTCCGCTTCCATGCGTCGGACGAAGTCCAAATTCACATAGTTCCTGGGAGCACACACACACACACCGTTCCAGCTGCATGTCCGCACTCAGGGAGTCACCGTACATGTTGGACATTCCTCTGCAATACCAGTACAAGTACAACTGTACAACTCAATTGAGTGGATTTGAGTTAGTGAATTGTTGTCTTGGTAGGATGGATGCCCAACTCTATTGTCACAATTCCAACCGCGGATTCTGTTGAGTCAACCAAGTGGTGGCTGTGGTGGCTCATTTGAGTTAATCAAGTCAGCGGAGCGGGGCTTGTCGCCGATCGCGCGGCCGAGGGTGTTTGGGCTAAAGGGATGTCCAAAGTTCTCTCCCCGAATGGACCCACAGCTCTATGTGCGTCGTCTTGCCATGGCTCTCGAAAAAGATCAGCCGTTTCAAGCATGGCAGTGTAGTCAAAGCTGCCACATCACCTGCAAGAAACGGTTCGGTGTGGGTAAAAGCTACCACGATTGCCTGATTTGCCAATAACATCCAATAACATCCAATATCTATAAGTAAGCTCAACATCTTCCCTCGCCTACTAATTGAGGATATTATACTGAGGAATTCCATAGTCTTGGGATGTTCGCTCTGTCGTACAATCTGTATGTGGATACGTGTCTCCAAAGGATTGCCCAACGGATGCGCCCCCTCTACGGGTGGAAAGCACCAATGCTCATCCAATAGGCTAGAGATTCCGTGCAGGAGAATTTGTCCATGGAGAAAAAGATTCCCCTACTCTTCACCCATCTCTTCATGCGGCACTGTTCTGAAGCCAATGGACCTTTGCAAATCTGTTCCACACAAACTCGGGACTTTGAAGCTAGGAAAACATGGGTCGTGCTCCCACATCGTTTGGACCTCTAAGTCACCCAGGATTCACCTTTTGCGTTTCATGCGGGACTGTCATGGGCAGTCACGCAGGCTCGATCTGCAAAACATCCAAGGTGGATTTTCTGTTGGTCTCTGAGTCAAATCTTTCGCAAAGGATTCAGCTCAAACCAGTTTGTACCAAGTTGCTCGCCAATCCTTGTGCCATCTTGCTCATGTCGCGGATAAACGCCTGCGATTCCGCTGCATTTCTTCCCATCCGTACACGGTGCCCATTGCAGGTAAGAACTTCAAATCCTTCACGTGTCCTCCTGCTCTTGTATAGATTTCACATCAATGATTAACGCCCCTAAACCTTTCTGAAGCTTCCATAGCGAGGTGCCTAATCTACAGCCGGCTCTTAGAGGTAGCTTTTCAAATCCAACAGTAGTCAGTGGTTCCTTTTCAATGGGCATCATGGTTTATCATTGCCTCCATCTCACTTATTGTCCTCACCCATCTTGTTTGCAGTCCCCCAGCTGATGGTGCCCTTGGCGCTGCCATAAGCAAGGGCGCTGAGCTGTCACGGGGCCTTGTCGTTGAGATGCAAGTCTAAGACTTCCAACTTTGAGAGGTGACGCCTTAGCTGTTCGCTGCCGACTCGTGAAGTTATTTAACGCACCGCAACCGTCACTCCAGTCGAAAAGACATGGAGAATCTTCTTCAGTGGGTGCACCATCCGCTTTTTGGGGGGATGGATCGAACTGCATGAGACGAAGCTGCAAAGTCGCCACCGGACTTTGCAGACCCCGGACTTCAAAGCGGCAGGTTTTTTTCTTCCGGTTTAGCATCTGGGACCGGACGGCGTTTAAAAAGAAAACGAGATCGAAGTTCGAAACTCCTGCATCTCATCAATGTCATCGCCAAGGAACAAAGCCCTCAGCAGGAGTCTAACATGTGGGGCCACTGCTCCGTCCCCACCCTTGAAGGAAAAGAAACCATTGGCCTTGGAGAAGTACGATCCAGATGAAGGCGGCATCGGTGGGTCAAAAAAAACATCATGGGTGTCCACGCACCAAATGAGGGAGTGAAAACCAAAACTTCAAAACATGTAGCCTATGGAGGTACACTCATCAAAAATAAAAACCTCAAAAAACAAGTATGCCAACGTGGCACCAAACATGTTGACCAAGACCCATCCTTGTTTGGAGTACAATAGATAATAATGTGCATTGATGATCTGATGTGTCTTTCCTTGATCTGATGTGCACACATGTGCATACCTCCCAGCAAGTTAGTGCAGTTCTTAACTGTCCTGCCCTAAAGTTTTCAACTGTCCTGTGCACTTCCTGAGCTAATTGTGTCGGAGACCACGTGGTATTTCGACAACTCCAACCATCAATCCGGGACAAAACCAGGACAACCCTTCCAAAAGAACCTACGGAACAGGACTTAACACACACTTCGACACTGGTTTTCCGTTAAAGCTCAATTTCTCCGCTGGGAAGGAAGGCGGTGGAACAGCATGGCGAAAAGTCCGAGAAAATGTAGGTGTTTGAACAATGGTTGTTTCCCTTGACTGCGGTGACGGAAGCGGCGCAACTCAGCTGCAAAAGTGGCTGTGGGAAAACCTGTTTTTTGGGAAGTAGGTATCATGGGCAACCACCATGAATCAAATCGACAGTGGAAAAGCTTGAGCAACAGTTTCCGGTGCAGGTACGTCGACCAGCGTCCTGGTCGATATCCTCAGGACACTGCAGAGAGCTTTGTTAAGTGGAGCTCTGCAGGCCTGCTCCACTCCCCTGCCTATATAAGGTGGTTGTCCAAGGTAGTTGAAAAGCATGGAAAGAGTGGTGGTGGAAGACCCTTGGTCCAGGGGTGGACACACACAGGTCGCCGCGTTCGGCGCTTTTTTCAAAAACCGGTGGCAGGCGTGATAGTTATGCCCCTTTTGGACATATAGATTCACGAGTTCGGCCGCAGCAGCGTCAGCGCTGGAGGGTGGAAATGTGTATTTTCGAATGGTGTGAAGTCGTGATTGGAGGCCTGATATAGAGCCAAGCGCTGGCTCCCGGCGGTGGTGGAATCCCGGATTTTCCAGGGTTGAGAAGGTTGCATGTAGGTGATGGTGCGTTGTGGGAGGTCGATGTTGAAACCGAGGAGATGAAAATCTTCCACCGGTTCGAGTTCCACAGGGTCGCCAAAGAAATTGTGGTGGATGAGGGTTTGGATAGCCGGGTGTTGAAGGAAATGTTCGTTGTGGACAATGAAGCGGTTGTCGACATAGCGATAGTAAGTAAAGTGGAGGTCTGTGTGTTGAAGGAGGTTGTTGTGGATCTGATGCCAGGAGTGCTCAATGAGGGTGATGGCAACGTTGCATAGGGCTGGAGAGAGCTGGGATCCAATCCCGGCCCCTCGGATTTGTTTGTAAGTATTGTTGCAAGCCCGGAAAATGCATGTGTTGAGGGCAAAAGCCACGATGGTGGTAATGTCGGAAGTCTGGATGGTGGGTTGGGTGGGGTGTTTCTGATGGTGTCTGCCTATGTGTGAGTGGTGGAAAGGATTGCCGGTGGCCTGGACATCCACCGTTAAGGTGTGTGTGGATTGTTGTTGTTGCCAGTGGTGGTCGAGGGAGTGAACTGCGTCGATGAGTCGGTGCTGGGGAACGGAGTTGAAAAAGCCGACCAGGTCATCGTTGGTGGCGTGTAGTGAGATGTCTGGTGGGGTTTGGGTGAGGTAACTGTGAAAGTGGTGCCAAAGCTGGGGAATGGACATTTGGCCTGGATGTTGAGGGTAGAGGTGTTGGAGGATGATGTCCAGGGCACGGCTGGTGATGCGTAGCAGGTTGCCACTGAGTGATTGGAAGTATGAAATGATTGTACGGCCTTTTTGCCAATGCTTCTTCTCCTTGAGGTGGACAACACCGTAGGGAATGTTGAAGTCTTTTCGGAAGCCCCACTTGTAGCGAGTGCGCAGGATGGGGGGGACAGTGGCGGCCAGGTGGTCGTGGATGTTGGCGGCAGTGATGTAGGGAAGTGGTTCGAAAAGTTCGGGGGATTGCCAGGTGTTCAAGGCGCCAGTGAAATATTGGCGAGGGCAAAACAGCCGAAGTTGTTGGAGCTCATGGTCGGCATGGTGGAGTAATGTGTGTTTGCCCAAATGTTCTTGGAGTTGGCGAAGCAGGCGAGCCGTAAAACGGGGTTGTTGCTTGAGGTGTGTGTTGTGAAGGCGCCATTGGTGCTCAAGGAATGGTTGTAAATGCTGAACGAGGGATGGTGGAAGCCCTTGTAGTTTGAGCCATTTTGTGTAGGCCGTCTTGAATATGAGGAAGTATCGAGCTTTGCTTGGGTAATAGGTGCTGTTCATATTGGCGTTGAGAAAAATGCCGAGGTGTGTAGGGAGTTGGAGTTGGTCCAGTGTAAGGATGTAGTGGCCGTTGATGGTGGGGGTATCGGGATCCTGCAAGAGGGTGCGAAGGTGATCGCATGCACAGGGGAGGTCTGCTGGATCTGGCGGGGAGTGGAGGGTGTCCTCCCATGTGCGGTGGTTATGCAGGTGGGAGCGGAGGGTTTTGTGGGCGGCTTCTCTCAGTCTGTGGGAGGGGAGGTGGAGGGGAATGGTGAACTGCTTGTGCTGCTGGATGGTAGTACGAAGCCACTGCTGGCAGTGCTTAGTGAAGTCGTCGTGGGCCAAGAAGGGCACTGTCAATGGGATGTTTTGTTTTGGCGGCGTGAGGTTGCGGTAGATCAGGGCTTTGTTGAGGATGTGGAGAGCTCGGCTGCGGCCAGGTTCTTCCAGGTTTGCGGCCATGCGCCGGATTGCATAGACTTCGAGGTCCGTGTGGCGGCCGCTTCGTAGCTCTTTGGCTGCTTCAAAGGAGGCTGCGGTGTGTTTGGTAAGGTTGCGAAGAAGTTGGAGGGCGTGATGCTTGGTGGAGGTGTAGAGGTGTGGTTCTCTGAGGGTGTACTGGCCTTGCCGAAGGCGTCTGAAAAGTCGTTTGTGGGTGGCTAATCTGGAGTAGAAGTGGGCTCTGTGTTTTGTGAACTGCCATCCCTGTGCTTTGAGCTTGAGGTGGTGGGAAATGAAAGGCCAGTTGAGCGGAGGCATCCAGTTTGCGATGTAGTGGTGCTCTTGGATCCAGGCTTGGTCATATGTGTCATGGGAGGTAAGTTGAATGGTGGTGTAGTGGTGGATGTTGTTGTGTGAATGCCAATAACGTAAGGAGAGTTCTGCAGAAATGGGGATGTTGTTTTGGAGTTGTTTGAGTTTGGCGCGGCGATTGTGCTCGCGGTGGGGGATGCCAATAGCTGTGGAGCCAACATAGAAGTGGCCATGCTGATGGTAGCAGCGTTGGGGCTGGTCGGGATTGAAGTGGAGCTTGATGTAGACTGAATTGGAGGAGAGGAAGTTGTGGTAGTGGTAGGTGTGGGGCAAAATGTGGAGCTGGCGGAGACGGTTGCGCCATTGTTGTGAGCGACGGGTCTTGGAAGGGTATGCGAAAAGGAGGGTGATATGGATAAGGCCGGTTGCAAAGATGGCCTCGGCACGGTCGATGTATTGGGTGCGGTGAATGAGCATAGAGAGTGCTCGGTGCAAGTGGAAGAGTTGGGTGAGGTTGGTGTGGCTGGGTTGCTGCTGGGCAAGGATGGCGAGTCAGCAACCGATGGCTGCTCCAACACCCACCAGCTGTTGTAGGCTGCGAATGGGGAGTCGGTTGACCCGGTTGAGGGGTAGGCCATACTTTGTGGCTGCTTCTTTTAGCTGCTGCGTGGTGACTTTGCTTGTTTGCAGCAGACGGACGACGTCCTTGGCGGCTTCTTGGATGGTGGGGTCGAAAGTAGTGACCCATTGTTGGATCTCTGGGTGGTTCCAGCCTTCGGGGATATCGTCTTGCAGCGTGGGGTGTGGTGGTTGCAAGACGTCGGTGAGGGCTGGTGGTTTTGGTGGTGGTGGAGTGGGTGCATGAGATGGGGCGGCCGGTGCGGAGGATCGGCTGGTGCTCTTGACTGGTGTGAGTGGGTTGCCCAGGTCTTGGAGTTTCTGACGTGCACGAGCCAGTTCGTCGTTGGTGTTTTTGAGGGCGCGTAGAGCGGTGCCTTCCGCAGGTGCTGGGGAGTGGGTTTGCAGTTGGTCGATAAGTAGTTTGATGAGGGGAGCGTGAAACGCTCGGGCATGGGTGGTTTTGTTGGGGATGTCTGTGCCCTGTTGGGTGTGGAGGGCCTCCGCGATGCCGTCAAGGTCAAGGCGCTTTTCACGGAGTTGTTGGAGAAAATGGGTCACGAAAACCGACTCCGCTATGCTTCTGGTGGCAATAAAACCTGTGTATTTGCCGTTGCTCAGTGTGCGGGCGGTGAACTCGGAGGTGCCGTGGTAAGCCAATTGCCACGGGAAAACCTCAAAGGTGGGGAGTCCTGCCACGCCTGCTTTTCGAGACCACTGGGTGGGTTGGATTGTACGATGTAGTTGGTGGCCGTGCAGCGTGTTGGAGTCCCAATGTTGCTCGGTTGGGTTCCAAGAGTCGGGAACAGGTGGTGTGGGGGATGGGATGTGTGGGGGTGGTGGGGCAGGCGCTGTGTTGCCACGTGCGGTGGGTGGTGGCGGTGGGCTGTGTTGGAACGTCGATGGTGGTGGAGTGACAGGTTCGGCCGTAGGCAGGGGTGGCGGTGGCGGAGGTGGAAACTCCGGCTGTGAGGTGGATGCCTGTGGTGGGGGTGTATGCTGCGATGGCGGTGTGTACGGTGGAGTCACATACGGGTTGGAGTGGTGGACGTGGTGTGTACGAAGTGCGTGGGTGAGTGGGCCATAGGTGCCTGTGGGGCTGTAGGCGTGGTGTGTGGTGGTGGGAGGAGAAGTTGTGGTATCCGGGTTGGTAAGCTGCTGATGATGTTGCTGCATCAAATAATGATTCCAGTAGTATTGCTGCCACTGCGCGTCCATGGTGGCTGGGCGAAGTATCACTGGATCGTGGGCGAGGAGCACCGGTTGTTGATTTGAGCAAGCTGAACA